CTTGCAATGCAAGTTACTTTGGATAAAAGTGGCAGCCAAATGCACAAATGTAAGTGACAGGACAAGTAGATGTTTTCCAAGCACGTTGCACAGATGTGATAAATTGATAATTGAAATTTGTTGCACTTAAATTTATTTATTCATCATTTAGTCGCAATTTTAGCAATCAGCTGTTGCAGCCCTCATTTAAAATAATTTAATGTCATGCATTTTCACACCAGTGAGAGCATTTTTTCACCAACATGATGTTAAAACAAAACAATAATCACTATGGAGTTGTGTTTTCATCATTTAGGTTGATTTTGTTTGTTTTGCTTTGCTGGAAACATCATCTCTGTATCTGTTCGCAGCTATCGATCGCTCCATCTCGTCCAGTCTGTCTGATGCGAGAGACGCGTTAGTTAATGCCGTAGTGGATTGTTTAACGGCATATCGCGCTAACGGCTCAAACATCCAGCCCTCCGGCCTGATTGCCCCTGCAGCCCTGCGTCTCTTTCCTCTATATGTACTTGCTCTGCTCAAACAGGTGGGGGCGCTGAATGCACACACACCTCCAGAGGGTCACCTACTAAACAAATGTCATTCAAAAGCCATTAAAAGGATCAAATCTGTTTCTTAGGGGCAAAAGGCCCCAGATCTTCAGAATGCAGTAAATTGTTGTTTTTTAATCTGTTAATCATTTGATATACTTCATATGTTGCGTGTTTGGTCCTTCAGAAAGCTCTGCGAACCGGCACTAGCACCCGTCTGGATGAGCGAGTGTTTTCCATGTGTGAGTTGAAGAGTCAGCCGCTGCAGCAGATCATGCACATGGTTCATCCGGACCTCTACCGCATCGACAACATGACCGAACAGGTAACGCACATTCATACAGGTGTGGAATATAATGATGCAGGATTGTAGAGTCCATCCCTACTGATTAATATTCCTTACCACCATCTGTTGCCATTGAGCCTTTGAGCAACCGATTTAATCCCAGGTTATTCAGGGAGCGCTGGCCCTTTAATTAGTGACAGTATTATTAGTTTTCTGTCAATTGCTTTGATAATAAAAAAAAGCCTCCCTAAATGACAACATGCAAAGACATAACATAGTCATACTACAATAACCCAAGCATGAACATCAAACACATTGAGTAACACTTTCAT